CTGAGTACCTGCAGGTTTATTCCTGTTGCTCTCACGAGAAGTAGGTGAATATCTTTACAAATAAATTTCCTCAGAACTGAGAGACACTAGTACCCAAGAGTATGCACAACACCTGCTTTAAAAGGCTCATTTTGAGAAAATTACCTCAAATTATTTGAAAAAGAAGTAGATTATTTAAATAGATGGGATTTTCTCTGCTTATCTTTGTAGTTAGAATTGAAACAATAAAAAATGAAAATTCTTATAAGAATACTATTTCTGTGCAAACATGTTCAAAAACCAGTTCCTAGGAAAGAGAATTACTTTATAAACACGTCTACAGATTCATATGGAATGGTAATTAAGTTCTTAAAGAATTCTAAAGAGATACCTGCTCATCCCTAGGGTTATACTGTCGCAAAAAAAAAAAAATTAAATTCAGAAAAAAAGTCCCCTCCAGCCATCTACTGGGCACAACCTTGTGGCTTGAATGAAGACAAAATTCCTAAAGAAACATGAAAAATTAGAGTTGGAATAGTTGTGTTTCTCATGATGGAAAAATCCTTACCCTGAAGCACTGCTTCAGCTGCACGAAACCTTCCATGCCAGCTAATAGGCATTATTCTGCTGTGCATTCAGAATAAAACGTGATCATCTGAACAACAGTATTGTTTCTCCCAGTGTGTAAGAAGTAGCACATCCACACCTCAGTATAACATAAAGTTTATTCTTTGATCTTTTTCAGTTACTTCACCTCAAATAGCAAACCAGATTTTGGTCATCAGAGCTCTGATCTGTATAAAACCACTGATCAGAGTTGTCTAACCAAACTTATGTCTCAATGACAGATACATCAAATATATTGCATTCTATGATATGACTTATGGCCCTTGAGGAGGCTGATGTGATTTGCAGATAGCATAAAGGAGAACCCACTGTCTGTAACGCTGCTGCTTCCTTTGAGAACGCACACAGGATCACTCTCAAGGAGAAAAGATAACACAGAAAGAACCGTGTCTTGTTGATACCACCTAAGAAGTCTTTCTGTTGTGCCTTTTGCAACCGGACTTATCTATCTCATATTGGCCTTTTTAGCCACCAGAGCGCTTGTAACAATTGTGGGTAGAGCCCTTCCCAAATCTTCATTCACGGAACCTAACCATGATGATGATGATGGAAGGAGAACCATGAAAACAGATATCATCACAATAAAAATGTTTCTAACTTTGCACTGAGCAGTCTTTTTTGTGATTCTAAGACTGATTGATAAAGTTTCATTAAATAAGATCATCAAAACAGAAATGTGAGGTTTCTGAATGTTGTTGTGAATATTTTACAAATACAGTAATCTATTCAGCATGTAAATCAAGAGACAGGTCAGACACAATTATATCTTCTTCTAACAGTGAAATGGATAAGTTGGCAAGACATTGTCTGCTGAAGAAGCTCCATTTTGAAAGATGCTTTAAGGTTTTCCTTGACTGCAGCACTGCATTTGTTCCTCCATTGTTCTTCTTCAAGAAAATCTCTTTTATGGGCATCTTGTGTGATGCCCTTTCATTCTTATTGGAATTCTCATTTCTAGGAGAGATTATGAAACCTGAAGCAGTTGTATACTTTTTAATAACACGAGTGTATGGGAGCACAGTTATTTACAAGAATAGTAAATGCTTTCTCTTTTCTATGTTGACAATGCCTGTCACAGAAGCTTGTATACATCTTTATTTTATTGATATTTTACACCCCAAAAGTAAAATGTTTCAGTGTCAAAACCACAGCAGACATCAGTGGTGGTTTCTGCAAAGAAATGTAGTTTTTCAGCACAAAGCATGGCATAACTACATCAGAGCTTAAGAACTGAAGGAACAGAGCAATTAAGGTTAAGGATTTTGGACATGCAACAATGAAATGTGATGGAATCTCTTTTTATTTAGACTAGGCACAAGTCAAACACGATATCTCTTCCTCAATTGATCGAGACACATGGAAATACATGCCGCATTTAAATTATTATTTTAAGATGGTAAATATCTTGACAAACCACTGGGAATGCTTTTCCAGCACAGGGCCAGCTGTTCCTCACAAGGCTTTTGTTCCTCACTTGCATGAAGTAAGTGTTGTGTTCTAAATATTAGATCCCCAGAGAAGAAAGGAAATTTCTTTCTGGAAATTTCAATAAAATTTGTTAATACATCGATCCACACTTTTGGAGAGTTTATGCTGATCAGCATTGAAGTCACTTGAAAGGTAGAAAGAGATGAAGAACTAGGAGTTCAGGGCATTTCTCTATGTTTGTGTGTATGAACATGCACAGAAGGTACATTAGAATCATGATTTAAAGCATTATGATCTAGAATCAGATTTGAAGCAAATCAGGTGCAAAGCATCCATTGACATGAACCCTAATTAATACAAATTGTGGTAGTTACACATACAGAGATGTGTATTCCTAAGTCACAAAAATATCCACATTTAATAACTTTTTCTAGGTAGGGAAGATTCATACTAAAAAGTTATTCTAAAATTGAGGTATTTTAAAAATTAAGCTATTCTATATATGAAAGTTAAATACAGATAGACCACTACCTCCCATATGTAGAAAAACCCCTTCAGTTCCAAAGGAAATATTTATATCTGCATAATGCTCATTTACAGAAGAGATAGTACAGTCTAGTGATGATATCGTGCATCTGGAAAGCAGGACTCTAAAGTCAATGATGCAGATGGGAAAACAGTTTTGCCTGATACCTTCAGTCAATGATTAAATTCACTGGATTACCTACACCAGAGAGGTTTTCAAATTATCTCATAGTTATCCAAACAGTATTGGAGCTTATCTGTGGCAGGCTTTTACAAAACAGTAAGCAAAAGAGATGACTGTGCATACTTTCTTCAGTCTCTGATTCTGCAGGTGGCAAGGAAGAAACTGATGTACAATCATCAAAGACCACCATAAGCCGAACCAGAAGTCAGGCTAGTGCACTGGACTCAGTGAAGCTGAGATCTGGAGCAGTCAAAGCTAATGAAGAGCTTTTCCAGCTGCAAAGGTCCTGCTGGATTAACTGAGTTAAGCTTTCCAAGGCTGAAGCCTTATACAGAGAAGACAATGGAGAATCTTATCGCCACAAATATTAGCTACTGGATTTTACCCTAACAAATATTCCAATTGCATACCACAGTTATTGCAAAAGAGGAGATAAGGGTGTAGGGGCACTTTATAAGACTGGGATACATTATGTTGGAAAGAAATTTGACTGCTCAAGGCCCTGGCTCTTACTGCACTTCGTGTCTTGGTGAACTAGATGCATGTGTCTGAAATACATTCTCAAGGAATTAAATCGTTATTTTCCCCGTGATGTTGCATTTGCACATTTACCTGTTAATGACCATGTATGTATAAACTTACAGAATAACATCTAAGAATTTCAACTATATAGGCAGTAAACACACTACATTTTGAACTTCTACTGCACGCATAAGAATGTGACACTTCGGTCATGACTTTTGCTTATGTGTAATCAAAATCTCATGTCTCCCTAACCAGCAACAGAGCAGCTTCTTTCCGCTTATGCATAATATATTGCCACTGTACTATCTTTCATATCTTTAGGAAGGCTATCAATTCTATATTTTTCATAGTTTAGGACTGCAAAATGTTAGAATGCATGTATGAAAAATGAAGAAATTAATTTAAGACCTAAAGCTTCATTATCTTGCCCAAATACGTATGAAAAAATTGTGACAGAGAGATGTTAATAGTTAACTTTTAAAGTAAAACTAAACATTCAGTTCCTGAAGACAGTAACTAAAGTTGAAAATGGATTTGAGCATTTTTCTAACAAACTTCATTATATACTACACCAAAAATTGTAACTTCTGTTACACGAAAATTCAATGCACTTGCTATTACACTGTTCCTTCCATGTACTGACTGCATCTGATAAAGAAATCAAGAGACAGGAATATATTTTTTATCATCACATGTATGTCTCCAATCAGACCTTGCTTTCTCACTTCAAGCAAGAGGCCTGACAGGGTCAGAGGATGATGTACATGAGTATAGTGTGAGCATAGTCAATATTCCAGGAAGTAGAGAAAGATAAGAGAAGGTCATAAATCTAAGAAAAATAAATTTTTTATTTTCTAAAGAAAAATAAATCCAAGAATGACTACATTGTGTTTCTCCTGAATTATCACAACAATGCCACTATGTAACAACATATAGGTAGAGAATAAATAATAACTACATTCAGTTATTTATGGCATTATAAATATTAAATAATTTTCTGACTGTACCAGTCGTACTTTAGATGAATACTGATGAGAGTGAGGACAAACTGGTTTATAGAGATGTCTATCACTACAGCTAGAGAGTCATTGTTATGGCAAATCAAGGAAAACATGTTTCTGATTAAAAAACCTGAAAGGTTAAACCATGTATATTATATCAGATCTGTTTCCCTCATCTTCTTTAGTTTGTTTCACCTTTGTCAATCCTGGAGTCTGCAGATAAACTAAAACTAAAATATGAGAACTTGAAGGTTGAGGTGTTGTGGATGAGAAGAAACAGGCATCTAGCTTCCACTACAAAAACTGAAGAGAAAGGGAGGAGAAGCCTGGTAGAAATAAATAGGAGTCAAGAATTATAAAATAATTCTGAAATTTGGAGAAAGGAAAGCACACACACATACACACAAAGGGAATATATCTTTCTAAAAACTCTGCCCAAAATCATGGCACTCATAATATTTAAATTTAGCAATTTGGACTTACACAGCTAAAGCTTTTAGACATACTGGAGCAAAAGGGAAAATGTAAGCATCATCATCTTAATAACTGATGCCAGGCATACCTTGCTGCCTGCCTAAACAGGGATGATTTTCAAGAAACTGTAATGGAAGTTTTAAACAAAACACGAAGTTGTTAAAAAATATAAAATCTTTCATTTACTTGTGGACAGAAAGTGCACACTTTATAAAAAAAAAAAACACAAGTAAACAAGGGACAAGAATAAAGTCATCTAAAACATATAGTCAGAAGCTATGTTTTTAAAAATGGTCTTTTATTTTAAGGATGTTCTACTGTGAAGATGATGCAAGGTGTTTGATTTTTACCAAAGTCAATGGCTGGGTTTTCATTTTGCCACTGACATGAGAATTCAAGTGACAAAGTGAAGCACAAAAAACTTTGATCAGAATAGAAGTGCTGCCTTTAAACACAGAGTTTGAGTGCTGCAGTGGCCATGGATATTGTATACAGCAAGGGAGAAGTGGAGACTTTCCGAGAATGTCAAGTCCTGTAGAAGAAAACACAAAGCTGGTTACAGCAGCCATGAAATGCAGTCCAAGGTATTGGGAGTCCAGTTCCCAGCAGCTCTCAAAGTATTACATTGTGTGTTGATATAATGCTGATGGAAGACAGAGGTTACTGATTCTTCTGTTAAAAATTTGTACACTGGATGCATGCTGCCCCTCTAAAGGGAGTGCTAAATAATGTCGATTTTCTGGCCTTTTTTCTTTTCACTAACCTGGTAAGTTTGAAAAGCTTATTTTGCTCAAATTCTCACATGCTACTTTTGTGGAACTTTATTTTTTAGCAGCCTTCCCAAATGACACCACAGAAATTCTCTCCCTTCCAACACTATCTTACTCTCTCTGCTGAATATTCCATAGGCAGTCAGTTTTCTGCAGCTTGCTTTCTCATGAGGCAAAAATCTGACCAAAAAAAAAAAAAGGTAACTGTTTTGTCATGATTCTATGTTTCAGGAAGATTATTATCAAACAAAAGAGCAAAACAGGAAGGAAACTGTCTACCTTACACCAATTTAGCCTTTTTTCAAGTATCTAACTGAATAGCCCACCTAATGCAGTCATACTGAATAGCAAGACTCAGTTCCATTGGTTTCCATTACTACAAACCACGCTTGCAGGCCAGAAATTATGAACTGCCTAAAGAGAGGGTACAGAAATTTAAAAGCACAAACAGATTTCAGTAAATGGCCTCTGCTTACCAGTGAAACAATTTGATGTACTCTTTCAATACATTCCCCAGTGAATTACACATTCTGAAAATAGCCTCTGGTGAGTGCCCCAGGTGAAGGTAGCTGGCAATACATATTTTCAGGATTGGTTCCTCCAGATGGGAAAGGCTTACCTGAGGCACTAAATTGAAACTCATGTATTTTCACACCAATTTGGGATGAATTTGAATGCAGCATTGCAGTTTTTGTCTCAGTATCAGAGAATATAATTTCAGTTCTTCCCTGGGTAGATGCAGACAAAGATATTCATGCTGAATTCCTCTTTTCTCACACAGACCAGTCCACCAGATTGCTTAGAGAAAGAAAACAGGGATAACACAGTGAGCTGCTGAGATTGTCATTTTGTATGTAATTCAGATTTCTACTACTTAGTTTTTTCTTCTTTAAATAACACATTAGCCAATAATCAAGGCTCCTCTCTTAGAATATACACTCTTAATTCCTTCCCCACACAGTAATGCTTTCTTACTTTCTAAATAGCAGCCATGATTGCTTAATTTCCAGGCCAGAGCTTCCAGCAATAGAGATAATGTCTTTGAAGAATTTCAGGTACCTGTAGAACAGAGACCAAGAAGAGAAACCTAGGCATCCAGCTACTACTCCTTTCCAAAAGAATATAACAGAAAGCAAACCATGACATTTAAAAGACAGCAAACTACCGGTTGCTGAAGGATGGGCATCCTGTGGAACACCACATAGTAATAAACCTTTGTAAAAGGTTTAACTTTTCATATGTTTCATTGAATGTAGTGGTTCTTCCTAAACCTACTGATGAACTTAATTTTTGCCAAAGTACACCTTATTTTGACACTGTTGCCCTTACTGTCAAAATTGTATGAGATTCATCAATTGATATAAAAAAATATTTCCATATCCAAAGTTATTTTCCTATTCCAACATTTTTATTTCTCTGGGGATAAAATAAATGGCTTGCACAAGTGAAACAGTTTTGTCAGGTAGCCATGGTTGCACTGCAGGGTCATAACTAACCCTGCAGGCAGCTGCTTGACTTGCAGTGCCTGTCCCAGCTTTGAATCTCTGTTGCAGAGGAAACCATCAATCCCATCTTGAAGTGGCAGCAGCAATTGCAGGCAGCAACAGAGCTTTCCATATCTCATCCTTTGCTACTTCAAACATTGAGAAATATTTGTGAGGAGTATATCTACAAAGATTTGGGTATTTGGCTTTACTATCAAAATTTATCTTCACAAACCTTACTTGCAACAGAGGCTCTAACCTTTAGGAAAAATACCTCTCTGGAACTTGGGCAGGCCACAGACCCTGAAAAAGAAAGAGAGAAATGCTGGAGAATGGTTTTTAGATTTGAGATATATGTGGACCAGTAGCTAATGGAAAAGAGTATTAATTAGGTATTAGCAATGAAATTCTCTGTTGGTTTAGAGAAAAGATGGAATTCTGCTGACAGTGCAGCAGAAAGGGCCTCTGCAGAACGTTTATTGTGTTCTTCATCATTGTCATTAGAGTCTTGTAAAGGTTCCCACCCTGCAAAACAACATCAGGAGTAGTTCCTCTTCACACATATGCAACCTACCGTATGCTTATACATCATTTGCTTACAACCTGTGGTAGCAAATCAGTCTAGATGTTTCAATTACACCCATTACCACAGTGCTTCAAAATGCTTTCCTGTTTTTAATCCACTAGAGGATTTTTGGGAGGTTGCAACAACATCTGAAATTCTATCCATATATTTTCAAACACAATACATATCATTGTGAGGAGCAAAAGACAAGAAGTAAGTATGAGCTATACCAAAATATGTTTCAAATTTTTACTTGACCTCAGTCCATGTGAATTTTATAACAAGGTGTGGCAGTTTGAGCCACATTAGAAATCTAAAATCCAATTTCCAGGCTTCCCCCACCGCTTCCCACAATTATCTTAACACCGTAGAGAAACTTTCAGGCTAGAGGCTTCTGTAGGGGAAGGGGGAAGTATATACATTTATTTACACAAATAAATACTAGACAAACTAAAGGCAACTATATATATACTACATTTCTATCAGTCAGTCCTTTCAAGCCCCTTCCTTTAACTACTTTAGTCCAGGAGCAGCCTTTAAGGCTGATATGTGTTCTGGGCTCCTGAACACTCCCCCCTCACCAAGTTCTAGTTGTTTGTTGCAGTCTCTCCTCCTCATGAAGTCCAAGAAGATAGCTTTGAGTCCTTGCTCTTCTGCTGCTTTGTGATCGATCTCTCTCTCTCTGCTTCATACCTCAGTTCGTAGGCTGCTGCAGTGTAGTTCAGCTTATCAAGTGTCTGTGTCCTAGAATGTTGATTTCTCCTCGGGTTTTTGGTTGTCCTTCATTTTAGTTCATGGCAGAAACATCCTCTGGGCCCCTCTCTCTCTCTTGTGGGGTCCGTCTCCAGTTCTTGCCTGGGAATTTTCTCCCTAGCAATCGAGCCTCCTCCACTTGGCTCTGCTCCAATGCTGAGCCTCGCATCCACTCTCACTAAACAGCGAGAGGGAAAAACACTGCCCTCCTCTACAGCTTGGCTGCAAAGGTGGGGGGGAAGAAGAAGAGGGCCTGGCCGCAGGGCCTGCCCCTCTCTCCCCCACTTACCAGTCATTTGTGAGTCACATCCCTCACAAACACGCACTCATTCCAATGCTGTCTCTAACTCTGTCCTAGGCAGAGTGAGGGGGGCTGCAGGGCTCCCCTCTTCCCCCCGGAGGGGAGAGAGGGAGCCCAGCCACCCCCTGGCCTTGTCCACCTACACACAGCAGACACCAACAGCAAAACAACCAAGACAGAACTTGCCAACAGCTTCCGGTGCTGTGATATATGATTTTGAGCAGAAGCGAACAACATGAGTGGTGATTGGCTCTCCAGGGAACACTGTCCTGGCACCCAATCACCTCTGAGCCCTCCCAACCTCTCAGGGGGGCCAATTTCAAACTATGACACAAGGAAAAGTACTCTACATCCTAACAACTACGAATAGCCAAGGAATATGACAAAAGCCATGGTTAATCTCTGATGAATTCATACTGAAAACCTCACAGTATCTTCTTTTCAACATGGAAGAAATTTGCACTGCAGGTAACAGTGGCAGTGAGTTTCTTCTAGATGGCTTTTTTGTATTTGTCTTTTTTATGGCTTTTATCAGAGAAATAAAATTTAAAAATCTACTAGAGATTTTGGACAGCAGTTGTTTAAAACAACAATTAAATGAACTGGCATATTTATGAGGCTCTCAGTGCCATCTTGTTGAATATAAGCTAACATTAGCATCCGTACATAAAAAAACCTATAGAGGATAACATTAGACTTTCAAATAATGCAGTGATTTTTATATCTGATGTCAAGCTTGAATGGGTATTTCTTTTAACTGTCTCAATTGCATTAATAATGTGAGTTGCAATCTAACTGCATTTTTTGTTAGAACAGGACTATATTGTTTATATAAAAATAAGTTATTTGCAACCTCTATATTCAAAATCTCAATGACTTTCTGCATTACTTAGTATGGTGTAAATGTTGTCAGTTATTTAAAAATATTTGCTTGCATAGATACATAATTTAACATGAGGAAATAGGTTATATGTCATTTAAACTACCCTTATAACATCAAAACCTGTTTTTTAAAGCCCAAGATCACTTCTCAACAAAGATTTCACTACCCCTCCATAGAAATGAAAAATCTATGAAACACTGACTTTTATATGCTTAGTTTAATAGTGGAATGCCTATCACATTAACCTAAAGAGAAAGCAGAAAATCCAGGCTGCAATATGCAAGTCCGTTTTATGTTACCAAAGGTGAGTTAAATAATTTCAGCTGCGTCTTCTGATGTTCTGATGCAATCCTCTATCCCTACTTTCTTAATGTTTTGGGTGTTCCTAACAACAGGGCTGCTAACATTGTCAGTTTTTTTCATGTTTTACTTCAGACTTCCACAAATAAGCTTGCCTCTGTGCTGGTTTTTGCTGAGGTAATTTTCTTTACAGTATCTAGTCTGGGACTATCACCGTCTGAAAGTTTCTTCCTGAATTTAGTTAGAGTAGTAACAGCGTGTTTACATGAGTGCTAAAGGTGTATTCTTAAGAGTGTAATGGAACCTAACACAGAGAATCCTTAGCAATTCACTAAAAAACAGGGCAATTAGTCCCAAAGTAAGCATGTTTAGGCCAGCTTGGGAATCTTAGCCATTCACATCACTGATCAGGGCTAGCACATCATGAGGTCACCAACTCATTTCATACAAGTGTTGGACTTCAGGTGATGGCAGAGATTCTGAGTCACCTTCTTACTAAACCTAAACTAAAAACCTGCAAAAGGTGGCATTTGCAATTAAAATCTATATTGTGGCAGGTTTTACATATTTATCATTTGCAGAACTGGAGAGAGGCTCTACCACTTCTGGAAGGGTCAGGTGTAGAGTCCAGTTATCAGTGTGTTTGAGCAGGATTAGGAGCAGATTGAAAAATGAATCAATAAAACAAAGTCTTTAATAGTTTGACATGCATTTTCCACCCTCATAATGTGGCCTGAAAAACTGTAGATCAGAAATATGTAAATGCAAACACATATTACGGAAAAGAACATGCAGTGCCATAAACTGAAGGCTTACTGCTCTTATTTCTGCAGACATCATATAAGAGTTCTGAAACTTGGCCAAGAATTATCTCTAATGTAATACAATCTGCCAATTGAGTCAAGCTAGATTTTAAGAAAAGATCAGGAGCAAACTAAATCTTTTGTCTTGAGGATCACACTTTACACCACAAGCCCTCATGTCAGATCTCCTAGGGTAATAGCAAGCTTTCTATAGGGATCTGAATTTAAATTTTTATTATTTTTTTTTTTGTTGAAGCCTCTAAAGCCAACAACAACATAAGGCAGGAGCACTATTAGATAAAAATAGGCATCTTTTATTAGCAGAAAAAACATACAGTGAATGTAATACTATTTATTTGACTAGATGTTCCATGGAAAATTTCTGTCATAATCTATATGGCCATTAATTGCAGACTCAGATATGCCTGCACATTTTTAAAACATCTGCATGCATCAAACCCACAGTTAGTGAGCAGTAAAAAAAAAAAGGTTTCTGGCTAAGGAACAGTATGGGGATTACATTGTAAGGACTTATATTCTTTTCCTTACAATAGATTCAGATGCGTTAAAGCTGACTTAATATGCATGGATCTCACCTAGTTGTTTCCATTTCACATTTCATTGCAGCAGCATCTTTGGTTCTTGTATTCTTTTCACAGCAGGGCAGCCTCTGTCTCTACTAGAGCCCAACAGAGTAGAGAAAGCGAGTCAAAGGACCACAGATCCTTCAGCCATATGAGTCTGGTACACAGGGAGTCAGGACAGGAGGGCAGCTATGACACTGTACTGCATCCAGCTGTGTATATTTTTCCCTGGAGTGGATGCCCAAAGAAGCTCTAATGGACCTGCATCTGACATCATATGTGCAGTGATTATGAGGCTACATCTTTAATATGAGGCTCATATATGTGTGCCTACCACATAGAAATTTATTACCATTACAGAATCCAGCACATGAGAGAAACATTAAGATACTGATCAATTTATAGATTTTGTCTTTTCCTACCTAGAAAGCTTACTCAGCTTAAAAACTTAGAAACTTTCATTTATTAGTATTCTTTACTCATATATACAGCTTTCAATGAAAGATAATAACCTCTGGAATCTCTACAGTTCTTGGTCCCTATTATTAAAAAAAATGAAGGATTCTATTATAATAGAAGTAAACAAGAATTGAGACTCATTCATAAGATGCTTTATCATTAAGAAATGTCATTTATTTGTATAGATACACTTACTATGATTTTAAAATGTAGTAATAGAATTTTACTTTTTAAACAAATCCTCAATATTGCAACAACATAGCAATTTATGACAGAGCAACATAGAACCATATTACTGATAATAAAATTTTATTCATTACTTTTAATGTCATATGTAGGAGGAATAATAAACTGCATGACTGTCCTGGGTTAAAAAGGGTTTTCCTCTGGAGTTGGAAAGTTGTTAACTCCAGGGGGGTGGTGTTCTTGGTGTTGACCCAATCAGCGCCCCTGCAAAATTAAAACATACCACACCAGACCGGAAAAGAAGGGAGAAGATGATGTAGTTGGAAGAGAAGTAGCCATGTTTTAGGCCACGAGGAGAGAGAGGCCAGGAGCCCCGATGGGGGCCAAGGCCCCCCCAGCCCCAGCTGGGGGCTGCAGAAACTTGGAACAGTGTTAAAGTGGGCCGAGTACTGTGGCTAAAACCTGAGGGACTTTCCTCGCTGGGAGCAGAGAGCCAGAGACAATGAAAGCAGCGGCGGAGCAGCACTAAACAGAGAACTGTGGCCAAGAGCCAAAAGAGATAACAACCAGCAGAGATGGCATGGAACCAAGCTGAGAGATGCAGAGTTGTCCAACGGCAAGAAAGAGGATCAAGCTCAGCAGAGGCTGTTTGGGGGTGAGACTTGGCTTTATTTCCCCAAACCTTTGGAAACCCCTTCTTGGAAGGAGGGGGTGGACTTCCACTTGAAAGGAGTCTTGAAATGCAGCAGCACCAGAGGGAGAAGCTGAGAAGTTCAGAGATGTCCTGGAGCTGGACTGGGACGGCCAGGAGAAATGCAGGGGGGAAAGAGGCTTTCCTTTCCCCCTTTTGCCATTCTGGCAGTTTGAGATGGAGCAAAGGAGCTCTGATAGAGCACTTGGGGCAAAGACTGAACTGAGAGCTGCCCTAAATGTTCTGACTCAGGAGGAGCTTGAATCCTCTGAGGAAGGGACTTTCACGAACATGCCCTGCACTTTGTGATATGACGTGGTGAGGCGAGCCTGTCCCTGCTATCACAGTTCACGGGAGAGAGATCTTCGGCTGGAGCCGAAGGGCCAGGGGGTGAAGAACCCCTGCATTGTAATGAAGAGAGAGAGAGATTTTCCAGCTACGACGGAGTAAACCTGCTGCTAGGAAAAGATTGTGCTGCCTTGAAAGTGATTCTTTTCCTTTCTTTCTGAACTTTTATTGGAGGAAAAGGAGGGACTTGATTTAATGTAATTATATTGCTTTACCATAGCAGAGATAATTAGAATTGTTGTATATAATGTATTATAGTATTTATTTGTGTAAGTAGTAAATTGTAATATAATTCCCTTCCCCCCATACTGAGTTGTGTTATGTCTGGAAAACCCTCTCACACTGAAGCAAATTGGTGGAGGGGGGCTTGGAAATTAGAAATTGGATTTTTGGGGGTCTCAAACTGTGACAATGGCATACATTAAAAATATTTTAAAAATTAAAATCCAGGCAATCCCAGGTTGCTACTAATGGCAGCTCTAATTTTATCCACTTACTTAAATATATTACCATAACAACATGTCAGTGATACAAGATAGGATGACGCTGTGACATCGTACTAACACAGACCAGCACACTCATGCTGATACATACCAACTTAAAACTGACATTTCCCAGAGAAATGCAAATCTTCTCTCTACCCCATGCCTTCAAAACAGCCCCCTCTCCTGTCTCCACCATTACTCGATGCCTGCCTACC